CTAGCAGAATTTTGCAAACATGTTTTGCTTGTTCTTTGTGGCCTATACATTCTTTTTTGATCTCTAGTCTTTTCTACTCCTGTCCTTTTAAGAAACTGCTGCCTGCAGATGTCTTTTTTAAATGTATATTTTGGCAACTGAATTCTGTACACAATTTGGAGACCATTAAACTATTGCATGAAAGTCATGAGACCTTCCAAGAACTGTCCTGTAGATATTGCAAATTGGAATCAAAATAAAGTACCAAAAATTATAGCAGCAGTGGAGTTTCATTCAATTGCTGAATTGAAATAATTTTCCTCACTGTCTCACAGAAGCTGCAATTCTAGTGTGTGTGTCTTTTCTATATATTAACAGGACCAAAATGTGCAAAAATAAAAACCCTGTAAGACTTCTAAGAACTGTTGTACTAGCTTTGCAAATTTTGAAATCATTCATTATTTACTTGTGTGTGTGGTACAGGCATACATGCACATGAGGAGGGCAGAGGATACCAGATGCCTTCCTTCCTTTGCCCATCTCCACTTTATTCCCTTGACACAGGCTCTCTCATTAAACCTGAAGCTTGCTGCAGCTGGCTACCAAGCTCCAGGAAATCTGCCTCCCAAATCTGGGTTCACCTCCTAATGCTGTGCTTACAGTCACATGCATCTTTGCCCAGCTGGGTGCTGGAGTTTTGAATTCCAGATTTGTTTGGTTTTGTTTTGTTGTTTTTTTTTTCAGGACAGGGTTTCTCTGTGTAGCTCTAGATGTTCTACGACTCCCTCTGTAAATGAGACTGGCCTCAAACTCACTTGAGAACTGCCTGCCTCTGCCTCCCAAGTGCTGGGATTAAAGGTGTGTGCATGACATCTGGCTTCAATTCCAGTTTTAATGCTTGAAAATACAAGTGCTCTTACCATCTCCTAGCCTCCTTTTAATCTACACAATCCTATATGTACTTTTGTCCTCTTTGCACCAGGGGTTTGCTATACACCCAGCCTTCCCTCAATCTCAGTGTATAGTTCACACTATATAGCACTAAACTCAGTATTCTCCTGCTTCTACACATGAAGGAGTGAGTAACAGGCTTGTGCCATGTACTTTCTCAGTTTAACTATTACTTTCCCTCTGTAGATAAGAAATAGATGTGAATAGATACATAACACATAGTATATCTATCTATC